TCTCTGCAAAGGGCAGGCAGCAACACCCAGAAGGAAATGCTGCCCCCATGCCCTGGCAGAAGCCGTTCCGGGTGGCTTTTAATTTCGAAAGAGCGTCCAGCAGTCAGGATGCTCTTTTTCGAAAAAGCGGATCGATTTTCCGATCCGCGTATTGTAGTCTAGACGCGCTCTTTCGAAAGAGGCTCTTTCGAAAGAGACTTGCAGGTTCCGGGTGGCTTTTAATTTCGAAAGAGCGTCCAGCAGTCAGGATGCTCTTTTTCGAAAAAGCGGATCGATTTTCCGATCCGCGTATTGTAGTCTAGACGCGCTCTTTCGAAAGAGGCTCTTTCGAAAGAGACTTGCAGTCTAGACATAGCCCAAGAGGGCAGGGCGGGGGACAGACGTGGAGGGGCTGAGAACTAGTCTTTCTCCAGACTTGTCAGGGATTGAAGGCTTTGAATTAAAAACACCACGAAGGACTCCCGGCCCTGCTGCTACCATGTTGCCTGGCAGCTGGTGTTGCTGTGGCTATTTAAAGGGCTCCTGGTGGCGGTGCTATCCCAGCAGGGGCCAGAGCAATGAGCTGTGCTGCCAGGCAACATGGTAGGGGCAGGGCTATGAGCCCTTTAAATTGCTGCTATTTAAAGGACTTACAGCTCCAGTCCCTGCCAGGGTAGAGCCGTGACCATGAGCTGTGAGACATTTAAATAGGATCCTGCTGCCTGAGCTACCACCTGGAGATTCGGTGGCACAGATAGCAGGATATTAACAAAAAGTGGCCAGATACAGTCTGTGGCTAAATCCAGCCTTCGGGCCGCATCTCGCCCAGCCCAGCTCTAGTATCTACCTGACCCCCAGCTTACTGTCATCTGCAAACTTGCTGAGCATACAAACCATCCCATCCAATTTTCCCTCTAAGCTGTGTGGCAGCACGGCCCTGCAGCTTTTTAATAATCCCTGCCCAGCCTGGGCCTCCTCCCTCAGCTACAGCAGCAGGAGTGAGTCTTTTCCAGCCGGTAAGGAAGGGATGTATCCCTACGGTCTGGGAGAGACCCACTGCACTGTCCTCAGCAGAGAGCTGCTGCTGTAGTTGAGGGAGAAGTGCCCCTCCCCCAACCAGGCAATTCCGTGCACAGAGCTCTGAGCCCCTGGCTGGACGGGGATCATTAGGCATCTGCGGGGCCATGCTACTGCACAGCTTAGCGGGAACCCTGATCCCATCATCCAGATAACATGTTGAACAAAACTGGCTCAAGGTCCAACCCTGGGGGCACGCCACTTGATACCAGCTACCAACTAGACATGGAGCCATTGATCACTACCTGTGGAGCCCAGCAATCTAACCATCTTTCTATCCACCTTACAGTCCATTCATCCAAACCATAATTCTTTAACTTGCTGGCAAGAATACTGTAGGAGATTGTATCAAAAGCTTTCCTAACAGACAGGTATATCACACCCACCACTTTCTCTATATCTGCAGAGCCAATTATCTTGTCATAGAAGGCAATTAGGTTGGTCATGCCTGACTTGCTCTTGGCAAGGGGTACGTCTAAACTACATGGCTCTGTCGACGGAGCCATGTAGATTAGTTTCTTTGAAAAAGAGAAATGAAGCTGCGATTTAAATAATTGCTACTTCATTTAAATCAAAATGGCCACCGTGCTGTGCCGATCAGCTGATTGTCAGCACAGCGTGGCAGTCTAGATGGGGATCTGCCGACCCCAGAACCCTTCATCGGCAGATTCTGTAAGCCTCGTTTCACTTAATCATGAGTGTGGCCAAATTTCCCATGGTCCCATAAAGTTTGCTTGCAGCCACCAGTCCTGGCTCTCAGTGTTCTGTGCTGTTATTTAGCACTAATTTACCCTGAAATGAGGTAAAGAGCCCAGTAAGCAGAGGAAGTGTTGGTAATGCAGCTAGACAATATTGACTGCACGTGGTCTGGCAAATTCTTTGGTTTGGCACTGATCTGGTCCCCAGGGGGCTGAATTATGAAGGTTTAATCTATAGTTCTTAACCTGTTCTTTTACCACTGCGGGCTGCCGACCTCCTTACCATACCGTGCTGCCTAAAATGAAACAGTCTATGAAGATCAAAGCAAAAAAAGCTTTGAGTACTTCAGCTTTTCCCATATCATCTGTTACTAAGTTGCCTTCCCCATTCAGTAAGGGTCCCTCAGTTTCCTGGACCACCTTCTTGTGGCAAACATACCTGTAAAAACCCTCCTTGCTATCCTTCACATCCCTTTCTAGCTGCAACTCGGTGCTTTGCTCTTTCTGATAATCCCTCTGCATGTTCCAGCAATGTTTTTATATTTTTCCTAGTCATCTGTTGGTTTCCACTTCTTGTAAGCTTCTTTTGTGTTTAAGGGTACGTCTACAGTACACAGCTGTAAGCTTTTCCAGAATAGTTATTCCAAAATAACTTATTTTGTCGTCAATGCATGACTACATTGCAGGGAAGCCTCAAAATTAGTCCGAGGCAAGCTTTCCTAATGTGCTATTTCGATTTAGAGCCCCAGGAGGCACGGAGGAGGAATAACTTAGAATGGCCCTGGTAAGGGGCTATTTTGAAATAGCAGCAGTGGAGCGTCTATACATGCCTTATTCTGAAATAGCTATTTCGGAACAGGTGTTATTCCTCATAGAATGAGGTTCACAGATTTCAGAATAAACCATCCGTTATTTTGAAATTATTTTGAAATATGGAATGGCTGTGTAGATGCTCACATTGTTATCTCGAAATAACAGTGCAGTGTAGAGGCACCCTAAGCTTACCAAAGATCTCTCTGTTAAGCCAAGTTTAACTATATCATTCAAGATCACTTTCACCTGAGCTGTCTTGAAGCCTTCTGATTTGCAACCAGTTCCTCTGTGGCTGAGCGCCGGAATCAAGTGTAAAGTGGTTGTCACCTTTTTACTGCCTCTACCTGCTCACATGCTGGCACATACACTTAACTTTGCATCCCAACATACATGGCTTTGCCATACTCATGTCTTCACAGAAAGGATGTCAGGACCATTTCCCATGAGACCTTTGCCTTAAAATCAAAGTCCCATGGAAGTAATCTGTCTCAGTGTAATTATTAGATATAATTATTAGATATAAAAGCTCTTCATGAAGGAAGTTCATATCTTTACCTCCCTTTTGCAGCTGGGAAACTAAGGCATGGAGCAGGGAAATGACTTGTCCAAGGTCACCCTGAAAGCAAGAGGCAGAGCCCAGAATAGTGCCCAGGTTTCCTAAATTCAGTGTCTTATCTACTGGATTACACTGCTACCCAGTCCTTGCCACCATTGTATTTCAGTCCCGCTGTGTTTGATTACCTTATTCCATCTTGAGAGTAATGGCTCTAAGTAGGTAACTCCATCTGCCTACCTCCCTTGTTATTGGCTTGCACATGCCTCTGGGAGTCCAGAATTACTCTGTGAATTTTTTCCTTTTCTTTCTATCTTTTATGCAGAATGGCACTAGCTTCCACGTCTTTGATCAAGGGCAGTTTGCCAAGGAGGTGCTGCCTAAGTATTTCAAACACAACAATATGGCCAGCTTTGTCCGGCAACTGAACATGTGTAAGTAAAACTCCAGTGCCTGGCATGCACTACAATGGAGACATCATGTGGGAAAGAAAAGAATTAACTAAGCATAAGAATAACAGATACATTTAAGTGTAAAATACAAAATCCAGATATGAGACTCAGTGTTCCACACAGGCTCAGCATGGAGGACAGAAGAAAAATGATAAATTATGTGAATCATTTCTTAAATTCTTTTTCTTAAATAATTTGTGCCTTAACCAGCATATTAAGCCGTGTTCATCTGTAACTACAAAAACCTTTAAAATGGTCTTGTAGCACCTTAGGGTATGTCTACACTGCATCCCTAGTTCGAACTAGGGATGCAGTGTAGACATACCCTAAGGTGCTACAAGACCATTTTAAAGGTTTTTGTAGTTACAGATGAACACGGCTTAATATGCTGGTTAAGGCACAAATTATTTAAGAAAAAGAATTTAAGAAATGAAGAAAGTATGTATGTGTATGTCTGTGTATATGTGCATGCACATGCTGCTCAGACATGCCTGCTGAGAAGGATTAGTTTATGATATGACGAATTCATCAGTTTGAGTTGACCTGGTCTGGATTCAACTATCCCTCTTTGAAAGTTTCACTTCCCGTAACAGCACTTTTTATTGGAAAAAACTGCTGATGTGAGGAAGGACAATAAAGGCTTGGGTCAAACATCATTTTTCATTGGAAACCTTTTTTAGAAGTTTGGGATTTCTGCCTCTAAGTAAGGTAGGGTATGTCTACACTGCATCCCTAGTTCGAACTAGGGATGCAGTGTAGACATACCCACAGAAACTAACCAAAATATATAGATAGAATCATGAGCTTTTGTGGGCACAATTCACTTCTTCAGATAAAATCATATTAAGATTTAACATTTGAGCAGCAACTTATGTATATATAAATGAGATAGTGCCAACTGTGTGTGGCCTGGATTATTTATTTAAATGAAGGCCTTCCCTTATAAAGACAGAATGCTGGGCAATTTGGATAAGAATTGCTATTAGATGGCTGCCGATTGATTAAAGATATCATAGGTCCCGAGAGGCTTGTCGCCAGAACCCAGAGGTCAGGTTTCCTTCTGGTGTACTTATATTAGAGCACGCAGATTACTTTACATTGTATGTTGTAAATGAATGAAGTTTCCATTTCAAAAGTTTTCGGTTTTTATTCAGTCAGTCTGTTGACACATAGTTTGTCATTTGCTCTAGGTAACATGTTATGTCAGAATTTTCAGAAACCCTACTAGACGTTCTTTCTCTGTAGCAGAAACTTAAAGCGCAATCTTCACACATGCCCAGAGTTTGGTTGTACTGAGGACAGTTCTCCTCCATCATTAGCAGGGGGTCTTTTCTGTTAGAAAACCATTTTTTATTTGCTCCTTATCTGGTCACTTGGTACAATTTTCCCTGTTTCATGTAGCATATCATGGCATAGCTCATAGGTTGAGCCAATATCAAAGAGTCCTAGGCATGTTTTGGAAAATCATCAGTGCAGACAAGGGAAAGGTTTTCAGAGGCACAAAGGGGCAGCTAGATGCCTGACTTGCTGAAAGTCAATGGCATCTAATTGATTTTTACCTTTGAAAATCTCCTTCTAAATCTCTGGTAAAAAAATCAGAATGGAGATTTTGTAAGAACTGGCCTAGTATTTTGTTACTTCCAGGCATACCAAAAGTAGGTGCCGTCTTTGTTTTAAAACATTCGAAAGGTTTTGAAGCACCGGTTGAAGTTCAACAACATTTCATGTGTCCCATTTCTAAAAATCCTCAAGCAACACAGAACATGTGATTTGTGTCACTGGAGTGTTTCTTTGTAACAAAATAGCCCAGTAGTAGATGCTGCATTTAGGGGGTAAAATTTACCTCTGTGCTGGGGCCAGCACAACAGTAGGCCTATGTATGTCCTCTTTTGAGGGCTTAACTAGAATGTATGAGGTGCCTTGTCCTTGTGCCACCTCATAAGCCTTAATTACATTTTTATTTTTCACAAAAGCTTTGCAAAGTAAAGGTGGCCTGTGGCTGTACATGTGAGGATTAGAAATGGCCTTTTCAGCTGTAGACCAGCATTTTAAATGTAGCCTACTTTAAACACTTCTCTATCTGAGATCTGTTCAGTAGCCCATGTGGAATGAGAGTGAATGGGCAAGTTGGTAACAAAAAAGGGTTGTCATTATTACAGCTGATACTAATTAGTAGCAGAGAGGCACTGGGTTGAATTGGCCGTGGAGATTGTACTACCATCTCAGCATCTGATGCCTCCAGTTTTGGGTTTGAGAGATATTTGTCTAGACACATTAGCGTCTCGGGCCCATCTCTGCCATTGGCATGTTAAGGACCATGTGAGCTAACAAATGAATGGTTTGCTTTTTGCAGCATATATACCAAATCTACTCAGGCAGAAATTAGAAGCAGGAAAAAGGAAACTACGCTTGGTGGGTAAGGGGAGGGGGGAGTCTAATTCAAACATTGGCATTCTTTGTTCTTCCTAATCTATATGATCTACAGGGTTCTCACCAGTTCTATTTATATTTAGATGGCTTCAGGAAAGTGGTAAATATAGAACAGGGTGGCCTTGTCAAGCCTGAACGTGATGACACTGAGTTCCAGCATCTTTATTTCCTACAAGGCCATGAACACCTTTTGGAACACATCAAAAGGAAGGTGGGAATTGAGTGCCTTCTTGTGCGGGAGTGATGTGCATTGGGTCTCCCGGTTTCATTAGAGGAATGGGCGGGGAGATGGAAGGCTGCTAGAAAGCTTGCAAAATTAGCTAACCTCACTTCCCAGAAATGCTGACAATTAGGGATGTTCATCTCCTTAGTACTAGTGCTGAATCAATCCTTAAAATACCTTTTTTGTTTAGCTCAGTTCTAAATAACTCCAGTGATGAGATTACTTGGATGCTAGTCCCTAGTCTAATACACTTCGTATTAAGGAATTTTTCATCCTCATCAGCCTCTGTTTACTTTCCAGTGCCCTAGATACAACCCCATGGGGTCACCCCAGACTCTTAAAACTGTGTCTCCTATTTTAATATATATCATCACTTATTAGCCCAGTCTGTAGCTGATACAGCTGCTTAGAAACCATCGCAAAGCTCTCACCCCTGTGCATAACATCTTGCGGTACTAAATTCTGTCCGATATGCTCTTGTCAGGTATCCGTTGTTAAAAGCGAGGAAACGAAGATGCGGCAGGAAGATCTTAGCAGGTTGCTCTATGAAGTCCAGATTCTGAGAAGTCAGCAGGAGAACATGGAGTGTCAAATGCAGGACATGAAGCAGTGAGTTGAACTCAGTCCCATTGCTCCTCCATGTGTACTTCATGACATAGTTGCAAACCTTGGGGAATATTTGTAAGACATTTGGACCTCTGGGGATTATATAATGAAAATCCAGCATGATCTTTAAAACAAATCCTTTCTGTGCTGTAAATGTTTGTTTTATGCTCAATGAAGTATTAGGTTTTGAGCTTCTTTTCCATTTTTAATTTGTATTTTTATATAAAAGAAGACCTTTAAAATTGCAGTAAATGAATTAAAATCACTCACCACAAATAATGAGGAGTCAACACAAACAGATTGCAAACAGCCCACAGGCTGAAAAATACCTTTAAACTATTCCACAAATACCTACAAATAATGATTTGAGGTACATTCACAAATGAGTTGTGAGCAAATAAAAGGGCTGTATTCACTGGATATTTTTTCCCAATGACTTACTCAATTAGCTCTGTCTATAACTTGCCTTGTGCCAAGTTCTAAGGCACTGAGAATGAAGGCGCAGAATCATCCACTAAGGATGGAGCCTCCATGCTGTATTCACTAATTCTTAGCATTATAAAGAAGACCGTTGAAGCCAAATATTCAAGAAAGCCTATAAAATTGCTCACATAAAACGGGTGTATCTTGTATTCAGGATATGTGTAGATGGACAATTTGATTTGCAGACACAATTTGAGATACTCCTTTGAAATTTGATCCTTTGATAATATCTCATTGGGGTTGTGAGTGCCATTTCTGCTGACGTGGAAAGAAGTGTAGTATTGCCAACCCAAACCAGTCAGAAATCACAGATTATTTTGGATTCCTTTTATTTGCCTTATGTTTGTTGAACTTCGAAGGGTTATATTTTCAAGTTTTCTCTGAAACCATGAAGGCCAACTACTAATTTTAAAAATATATAGTATGAAGGTTGAGATTCTCAGACAATCATGACTCCAGCATCTGGGGTTGTTAGAAAAATACCAAATATTGCTATATAAAATCACAGAGTTGGCAACTCTTGTGCCAAGGTAGTGTGAATGCAAGTCTGTGTGTTCAGGGGATGTTTCTGTTTCCCTTTCAGGCAAAATGAAGTCCTGTGGCGGGAAATTGTATCTCTCAGGCAGAATCATTCTCAGCAACAGAAAGTGATCCACAAGGTAGCGATCAGACCAGCTCAGCTCAGACCCCTGTAAAGTATTGAATTGTGTTACACAGACTATCAGATAAATGTAGTTCAATCTCCTGTTCCAGTCCAGATCCTACATTATATTTTTTAATATAAAAAATTACTGTCATTGCACACATACTGTCATTACTGTGTATGTATTTTCCCCCTTTCCTAATTGCATTGTGCATGGTTCTTCTGGGTGCAAATAGGAGCTCTGCATGACAGGTGGAGAATTGTATTGCCTTTCCTTTATCTGCTTTTACAGCAGGGCAGCCCCAGGAAAGTATGGAAGTTTAAACTCAGCATCTAGCTCTGTGCTCATGTATAAAGAAAGGTAAAATCCTTAAGCAGATCAATTTGTATTTCTTCTTATTGATCCCTGTGACTTTAGGACACAATGTGTGTAGGTGAGTGATGGGCATTTTGAGCCTGATACTGCTTACGTTGAAATCAGTGCAAAGCTCTCATTGGTTTCAATGAGAAGAAAATGGAGCATTTTATGCGTTTTCCATTTTGTATGGATAGTCCTCATCAGTAATACCTTGGGCTATGGGTGTTGACTACATACTTTTGGCCTTGCCCAGTTTTCTCCCTAGCTCTGTGTGCATTTGCAGTAAAATTGTCACAAAGCCTGTACATTCTCTAGGACAGGGCTACTCAACACACAGCCTGCAGCACACAGCCCATTTGTTTGCAGCCCACAGTGCGGTTTGGGTTTATGTGGGGTTCAACACATGGCTTGTGAGTGGAAGGCCTTTTAACATGGCCTCCACTGGGAACACGCTTCACAGCGGCAAGGCGTCTCCCAGGTGGGGTGAGCACTGAAAGACTCAAGCAGACGGGTTGGCTGGAACAGACAGGTACAGGGTTTTGGCATTTTTAGCCCCCAGGGAGGAGGTGCCGGGAGCGCTGGGGCATTATGGGAAGTGCTCTGTATTCATTCCCATCAGTGTGAAAGAAGCTGTTTGCATATATTTGCATATATAGTTGCATGTATATACAACCACACTTAAGTTACGGCCCTCTGCATGTGCTGTGAGTATCGTTGTGACCCTCGTGGCTTCCAGAGTTGAGTAGCCCTGCTCTAGGTTGTCCAACCTGCCTCTCATTTGTGAATCTTCGCACACGAGCTGTGCTGCTGAAGCTAGTGAGTGAGGCAGCTCTCACCAAGGGGAGCAAAGCCTGAAGAATAAGACCCTGGAGTCTGTCCCTGCTGAAGTCACTACTAAGAACAGGGAACATTACAGATTTTGCAGCAATGTTATCTCCTTAGGCAGGCAGAACTTTCTCGTTTTTACCAGTAGGCACTGCACCGCAACACTGTGCTTGTCCTTCTCAGACTTTTCAGTTAACTGCCACAGCCTTTCTGTGGAGTGGCTCACATGAGGTTGTCTGCACACTGAGACAGGGAAGGTCATGTTTTCCCTTAGATTTCAAAGCATTCAGGCTCAGATTAAGCCCTATTCTAGGGGCCTCAGTGGAAAGGCTGTGAAAAGGTGCAAAGCTGCATCCTTTGTGTATGCAGGCACAGTTGAAGTCTCTCTGTGTGATTTCTGAGGCACCAATCAGTTGCCCTTCTGACATGCTGGACAGCAAAACTGGCCCATTGCATGGAGACGTGTTTGAGTGGCTGCTTATAGAGCCATTCAGCCTCCAGAGTTATTGGGCTGGTTGAGGGTAATACTGGGTGAAATTCAAGGTTCTGTGTTTCTGAGGAGATCAGACGGGATAATCACAGTGGTCCCTTTTGGCCTTAAAAATGTATGAATTCCTCATGGAGCTTCTCTGGGGGAGGGGCAGCTCCACAAAGCCCATATTGTGTGGTGGCATGTAAATGGGGACTACTTATGCATGTGGTAAGCTAGCTAGTCCTGTGCATGCACATTGGGCCGTATGGGTGGAAAGAAGGTGCACTGTTCCATGCACAGAAATATTCATGAGTTTTAAGTATGCAAGCTGTTCCTGTACCTTTTCAGGCTGAGTCACTTGATACAATCTGATTTGAATACTCTACCCCATTCTAGAAAACTCCTTGTAATTCTAGGGGTAGTTTCAGTTCTGGAATAGGCTTTCAAGGAAGCTGTGGAGTCTCCATCACTGGAGATTATAGAGAAAGAGTTTGACAAACACCTGCCAGGGCTGGTCTGCTTGGTCCTACTTCACACAGGACTCTTCCACCTCACCATTTCTATGATTCTATAACCTGGAAAATCCCATGGTAAAGTAGGGTGGAGGGATGTACATAATATGAAACCACTGCTGAAAAACACCTGATTTTGATCTCCCCTAACAGCTGATTCATTTTCTGTTTGGCCAGCTCCAATCAAACCCCAACGGCGCTGGGATAAAGAGAAAACTGTATGTACCCTTGTGTGGCATGCACACACACACACAACGAGATAATGCTCACATTTCATTAAAAACACCAGCTCAGCTCAGAGTGGGGTGGGAAGTCACCTGACTCAGGCACCGTGATGATAACAAATGAATGGGGCAGAACTGCTGAGTCAGACCTGCTGACACTCCTCATTCAGTGGCCTTTAGAGAATCACCATGTCAGCTTGCTCTGACTTTTATTTGAAAGAGGGACAGCCTAACTAATGGAGGGCCTGATCTGGCTGCCTTTGAAGCCAATGGACATTTTCCTATTGACATCAGTGGAGCAGGATTGGCCTCCATCTAACTAAAATAGTCAATTAATTAAAATAAGGCCACTGAACTTGCACGCATATCAAATATTTCAGGTTGCATTTAAGTTACAGATACGGCTTCTACAACTAGAAAGAGGAACGAGGTGTACCGGTAGTTCGGAATAGGAATTCTAGTCCGAACTACCTAGTTCGAGCCCCGTGTAGCCGCGCTACACGGGGTTCGAACAAGCGGGGATTTAAAAATGGCGGCTCCCCGCTTATGCAAATGAAGCCCGGGAAATTCAAATCCCGGGCTTCATTTGCAAGTGCGGTATGCCTACATTACCCTCCTAGTTTGAACTAGGAGGGTAGTGTAGACATACCCCAAGCGGGGGAGCCAGGCTGTTGCTGAGCAGGAGCAAGACAGCTGCAGGACTGAGAACACAGTAGGAACAGTGGTGGGGCAAGTCTAGGAACAAGGCAGGCCCCGGAATGGCTGTCAATGTAGGTGTAAGCATTGGACAGCTACTGCTATTGCTGCACAGTCCTGCCAGTGTAGCTCAGGTACTCAGGCCATCTAGCCGATTCAGGGTTCGAGCTGCAGTTAGCTGTAGTAGTGTCATGGAATCTGCCTTAGAATCAATAAAATATTGAGCCCTGAGATAAGCACTGTCTTCCTATTTCCATGTTGTGTGCAGTGTGGTTGTGGGCATGTTGGCCCAGAGAGACAAAGCGAGTGAGGTAATGTCTTTTATTGGACCAACTTCTCTTGTTGGAAGAGACCTGCTATCTAACTTGCACAGAGCTCTTCTTCAGCTCTGCAAGCTAATGGCATATTCTGCACCAAGCCTAGGTGAAGCACAGACGCTATCTCGTTGTTAGAGACAGGCACTGACCATAACCTCTAGAACAGGGCTACTCAACTTTGGAAGCCCTGGGGGCCACAATGATACTCACAGCACATATTGAGGACTGCAACTTAAGTGTGGTTACATATACATGCAAATATATATGGAAATAGCTTCTTTCACACTGGCGGGCATGAATACAAAGCACTTCCCACAATGTCCTGGCGATCCTGGCACCTCTTCCCTGGGGGGCTAGAAACGCCAAAGCCCTATACCCATATGTTTCAGCCAGTCTGTCCGCTTGCGTCTTTCAGTGCTCACCCCGCCTGGGAGATGCCTCACTGTTGTGGAGCATGTTCAAAGAGTCCCACCCACGGGTTGTGTGTTGAGCCCCATGTAAACCCAAATGGTCTGCGTGATAAGTAGCCCTGCTCTAGAAGATGGTAGTCTCTCTGGTTTGAAAATACTTTTATTTACAAAACTTACAAAGTTTAGATGGTGCATGGAAATAGACTAAGATAAAAACACACTTGTTATGCTAGATGTAATGGGTGTAACCCTATAGGCTTCCTGTGTTCCTGAACTAGAGTACCCAACTAACCAATCTGCTGAAGTGGGAGAACTAGAGCCAATTTCTCTATAAAACAAGAGGGAGAAGCCAGGCAAGTGTTGGGTTCTGTTTGGTTTTGTTCTGTTTGTTTTAAATATTAGCAATGGTGGAGAAATGTCCTAACAAGAGGATGCAGAAAGAATGGGCTAACCTCTAAAGTGAGACCTACAGGCCAGTTTATTGTTAAGAGGATTAGTGACCCCTTGCAGGCTCAGCTGTCTGCCATTCAGCATCAGGTTCTGTTTTTCAAGGAGATTAATGTGCTTGTCTGCTTTATTTAAAATAATGTGCTTCCTGAAATAGTCACTTTCCTGTATGCCTATTCAAAACATCCCCCATTGTTTTTTTCATAGAGTAAAACAACAGGAATCCGCCTGAGAAGTCTTTCTACTCAGACTTCCAGTTGCCCACTGTCCTTTTCCTTGTGTGTTATTTGTTAGTATTAGCAAGCACTGGCAGTGTGGCCAACTCCATACCAGACAGAAAAAAGACATTCACTGCCCTATGGCACTTACAATTTAAAGAAAAGTACAGAGGCTTTTAGGGGAGGACGGGTGGGTGGCCTTGGGATTAGGCTAATAGGTTCCTTGCTCTGCCATAAGCAAGTTACATAATTTCTCTATGTGTTAGTTCCCCAGCTGCAAAATGAGGATGATGGTTCCCCATTTCACAGGCATAATGTGAGGCTAAATCATTGTGGGGTGCTCAAATACTATGGTGATGAAGGCAATTATCTTAGTGCCCAGATGTGACAAAAGGGAGAGGTACTACCTTTTGCTGAGCATCCCAGCTATTCAGTTAACTAAATTGCCTGTAAGGGTTGAACCCAGAGACAATAGGTCTGTAAGAGTCTCCAGGAAGTGTTGGCAGGACGTCAGGAAAGCCAATGAAAAGAAAGCATGAATGTTTGAATTGAAGCAGGACCCTCCTGCTGCAGTCTTTGTGTGAGCCAGAGCAAGAGCTGCAGATATGAGTTAAGCCAGGAGCAAAGCATGGCATTTCTAGCGATATTTATGCCTAAGGAAGGACTAAACCTTGGAACACCAAGAAAGATCAATTGTGGCCAAAATTTTCAAAAGGTTTTGGTTGCTTCAGTTTTTAAGGTCCCAGCTTGAGACCCCATGAAGGGAATTGATTTTCACATGGGGGCTCAGCACTTTGATGGATGCTCAGCACTTTGTACTAATCAAGCTCCTTTAAGGTATTTCATTTCCCCCTCCCCTTGCGAACAGAGATATCCATCACCACTTGTCACTTTTGAAATCGTTCACAAGGGCCATCTGTAGTAAGGGGCCTAGCGACTGTGCAGCATATGCAATGGAAGATTCACTGAAGATGGGGCTCTCCAAAATACCGCAGTCATCTCCAAGAAGCCAGGGCAGTTCAAAATGTTCCCTTTGTGCTAATATCTTTAACAGGCAATATACAGCATAACCTGGCAAGCTGAACCATTGAAGAGGCACCATGAAATTATTTTCCTGGATAATGTACAGTGCTTTATGAAAATTCTTTCTTAAAATATACAATGCAGCACACTCAGAAAACATTGTAATTTTTCTGGAAAGAAGCATTCCCATAGATTCTATTCATTTTCTCTATTCCATTAATTAATAAATATCTTATTTCTATGTAGAATACATATGGAGCACTGATGTGACTGCAGTGGAATTTAGGCTTCAGTCTAAGTGAACTGAAATTTGGCTTATTGAAATACTTGGGTTATGTTGTATGTCTGGACAGAATCAGGGTGAGATTCCAAAACTGAGCTCAGAATTTAGACAAGATAACTAGATCTAATGGGCAAGTAACAGAAATTCACACAAAGCTTAATGGGAGAAAAGATTTTCTTTTCAAACCTCTGGTAAGAAGGCAAAAGTGCTCTTGAAGGTTTGATCGGATGCTTGGCTCTCACTGGAACCTGGTAGCTTGCCAGGGCCTTCACTAAGAATGAACTTCCCTTTAACAATGTTGCTGAGTTAATAGGTTTCCTAATTCAAATTATTAAAATAATAGATTTGCAGCCTGTGCAAAGTAAAATAAATGGGATGGATGGTTTGGTGGTCCAAGCCTCAGATATGATATACCTAGAGCTCCCTGGAAATGGCAGGATTGTTTCAAATTTTCTGTCTTCTGGGAAATATAAATAAAGTTCTGAATTATTTATCCTATGTGATCATTCAGATTCGATCTGGAAAACCAAGGTTCTGTCCCCTCTGTATGGACATGAAAGGTCCCCTGTGCTTGGTGATCTATCCAAAACTACATTACATAACATTATCATTTCACTTCACTGTCCATGACACAAGACAGGGAAGCACCTGACAGCAGAAGAAAATAAGACATGAACATGGAGAAGCTTCCAATTGCTGCCAACCATTGAGTCAAATGTTTCTGGCATTTGTACTTAGGTGACAGACAGTTAATACAAGGCTGAGATAAAATATTATTTCTCCTTCTCGCCACAGACCTCTGATGCTAGATGATGGAAATTCCGCTCCTCAAGTATCGAAGTTCAGCCGACATTTGTCTGTGGACCCCCTTCACGATTCCTATTTCATTCAGTCGGTAGGTTTGTTTCTAAACATGGACCTTTGTTTCAGTCTTTCTTTTTGTCATGGTTTGTCCTTATCCATTGTGGAAAATGTGACATTTCTGTGCATGGACTGGTTGCATAGGTAACTCTCTTCAGTGAGAATACAAGTTTTGCCAATGTGACATTAGTGGAGAGATTTGCGAAGTTACATTTTATTGATCTGACTCTTTACTACTCTGCAGTGAAAGAGTGCCCATCGCACTCTCTGGCTGCCCTTCCCGGCTGTTCCCTGGCTGGATGAGAGTGCAAAGGGGCTCTGGCCGGAGTAGAGAGGAGGTGCCACTCCAGATTTCTAAGGAGCACGAGTCCCAATATCCCATTCCTGGGCTCTAATATAAAAATCCTACCCAAAACAACCCTCCATATTAATATGGAGCCGGTAGCCTCTTCCTAGCTTTCCAGATTAGGACCCTGAAGCCCCAGGGCAGGAGCAGTTCATAGAGCAACTAGAAACTGAGGCTTCCTGTCCAAGTGAGAAGACAACAGATCTTCAGGATCCATAGCTTCATAACTATGTAACCAGTTATTGTTTTGGTTACCGTGTCCAGCATGGCTGCCATAGATTATATTTGTTTAGACAAGATGAATTTCCAGGCAATGGGCACAGTAAGCAGAGACTATACATAACTACAGAGAAAGAGGGTTATGCTGAGTTGTTGGTCTTTCATCTGAGACATAAAAATAAGGTCCTGACTGCTTCCAGAGATTTAAAGGTCTCATAGATCCTTCAGCCATGAGGAAGGCCTTGGGAAAATATAAATGTGGGTAATCATATTCTGTCTACATTAAAATCCTGCTGGAGCTGTCATTCTAATTGGATTGTTATTTTATAGATGCATTGTAGTAGGTGTGTGGGTGGGAGAGGGGTTTGAGGTGATTACTATGCCTTGTGCACATTTCTCATGTGAGTAGTTCCACCAATTACCTCATTGACTGCCAGAGAATTGCTCTTGTGAGTGACAGAAGCAGGATTTGCCCAGAGAGCCCAATCCTGCAAACTGTTACTACCAGACATAGTGCTCAGTACCAAACATTGCATGCAATGGGACTCTGCAGGGTAATAAGGACTAGGACTCCTCCCTGTAGGAGGAGTGGTGTAGCTGTCCCGCCTCAGCGGGATGCTCTGGGAGATCAAAATGCCCCATTCTGTCCTGAGCTGCTGGGTTCCCCAAGGCAATTGTGAAAGTTCCCGGCATTGGGTGGGGATGAGCCAAAATTGTCATTGCAAGTAAGTAAGCCATCTTTGTCCCTTGATGAGCCAGTGTAGAACTAACATAACAGACTTCTTAATTCTTCCTGGTGCATCGCAAAACTGATCATTTTGTATTTTCTTTTCCAGCCAGCTACAGAACCTACCTCATGCTTAACCAGTCCTGCTCTTGCTGGAGGGCCAGTCATATCAGATGTGACTGAAGCATCACCACCTAATGTTGTGTCGCTTCAGTCTCCTCCGGAGGGTGACAGGTAAAGAACGTTATTGTGATTATTAACTACGAGTGTGTCTGTACAAGGGATATGATATGCATTTATTTTTGTAAACCTGTAACCGCTGAAATGTGCAGTGGTTACATGTTTACACATGGTGTGGCGGGGAAGGGGGGGTAGGTGGGATCTGGTGCTTGTGGGGAACTGGCTTTTAAGCTGGCTCCTTACTCTTCCCTGCCTCCTCACCCCCCGCCCTGCTGCTGCCTCTGTGGGAGGCAGCGGGGGGAGGGACCAGGGGGTGCTGCAGCTGGCCCCCCTGCCTGTGTCCCCACCCCTACCACCTCCCCCCGATACAGAGGCAGCAGTCCCCACGTACATTGGCTCCCACCTCCTGCCCCTCCCCCCGATACAGAGACAGTGTGGGGAAGGGGAGCTGCAGGTAACCGTTAGGATTAACCAACAAACCCAAGCTCATCAGTTAATCATGTAAATGGGTACATGTTCATATCCCTAGTCTGTACATTGCACTATGGGTGTAATTCCAAGCTCAGGGAGACATACCTATACTATCAAGGGTGCTAGCCATGGCATCATTAGCTGTAGCATGGGGAAGCTACGCCAGTATATACCCATCCAAGATGCCTGACATACTCTGATAGCTAGCCCCTCTTGCCACTCTCACAACTGTTGCTGTTCTTTTTTTTTAGAACACTAGTTCCATGAGAACTGGCATGGGTATGTTGCCTTCATCTGACAATTACAAACCCCAGCTCAGAATGTGGAGACACTCTTAGGGTACGTCTACGCAGCGACATTATTTTGAAATAACTTAGTCTGCGTCTACACAGCAAGCAGTTATTTTGACATAATGTCAAAATACAGTCAAGCTGAAGGACTTCTTACTCTGACTCCTGTAACCCTCATTGTACAAGGAGTAATGGAAGTCGGAGGAAGAGTGCTCTATTTCGAAATAAGAGCTGTGTAGATGCTCCCAATTTTTAAATAAGCGACTTTGAAATAGGTACATAATTGACGTAGCTCAATTTCTGTAGCTTATTTCAAGTTAAGCCCTGCAGTGTAGACACACTCTTAGGCTGTGTCTAGACTACATGCCTCTGTTGGCAGAGGCATGTAGATTAGGGTTGTAGGCAAAGGCAAATGAAGCCGCGATTTAAATGATTGCGGCTTCATTTACATTTACATGGCTGCCGCGCTGAGCCGACAAAC